CTTATAATATGTGTAAATAGTGAAGATTATTATGCATTTTTCTGCGTTATTACTACTTATAATGCGTGTAAATAGCAAAGATATGGAACTGATAGTGATATACATGTTTACAAATAAAGCATTTATAATTGATCTGTGATATAGTCCAACATATCAATGAAAATGTTTTCCAATATTTATTATATTTGTTTATCACGACACAGGTTATATATGAAATTGCATGATTTGAAAGGGCACGTTGCGGATTGATAGCCAAAAATGAATGACCTAAAATGACAGGTAAATTGTCCAAATTACCATTCCATGAAACCCTCACAGGCCCGGAAATTCAAATTCCTGGAAATCCAACCCATGTTTTGCCTTTATACATTATGTAGAAATATAAATAACTAAGATAACATATAAATTTAGAAACATTATCACCAAACATATTCATAGAGTTTAATCAAAGAAACAACAACTAATAAAATGTAGCCTAGTTGGTTATAATGCTATTTCGTCATTTAAGCGACCAAGGTTCGAACTCCAATGATAACATTTTTAATATATAAACATGAACTGAATGCAATGACAAAATTGACCTTCCTAGAATCACTCTGAGGTCACGAAATTTGAAATCCAGATTACAATGACAAATTGAATCTATCCACAAGTATAGACTAAATTCAGAATCTATACACAATGACAAATTGAAAACCATATTACAACAAAGACAGCAGTTGTTGCACCTTCTTCAATAGTTGAGCTTCAATCAGAGATTCATTTGCATGCATATAAACGCCAACACCGCTCCCTCCACAACTCACTCACCAGTCACCATTGTATTCCAAAGAAGCTTGTCACGATCAGAAGCTGGGAAATTAACTTTGAACTGAGTAATAGCTAGCCCCAAGGAGTCTTCCCAACTTCCTCCGGTTTGAACTTGTGATTGAAACAGCCTGTAGAACCTTCTTTGAATAAGAACAGTAAAAAACAAATGGTCTCTTGATTCTCCAGTAGAGAGGCAAAGGGGACATTTGTTAATCACTGAAGGATTCCACACCTGAACATTATCAAGGGTAGTGATCCTGTTGTGGATAATAAGCCACACAAGCAACTTGTCCTTTGGGGTACAGTGGGACTTCCAAACCAGATTGTACCACATGACCTTTTTATACTTAGGTCTGATTGTTTCCCAAACCTTTTTGATAGAGAATTTACACATGAGCCCATCATCCCAATAGACCCCTGAAGATCTAACAGAGAGGTGATTTTCTTCAAAGTGTCTGGCTTTCCATACCTTCCTCCATGCCCATGAGCAGGGGATAGAGGAGGGAATATCTCCTAGAGGTAGAGATTTATCTCGTGTTTTCTAGATAACTAAAAGCAAAGAAGTCGAAAGTCTATTGCAGTGTATAAAGTTAGAGGTTGAATGTATTATTGGTTCTCAAAGGGTTCGCCCATTTTGCATGGTCCATTAAACCGTACGGAGACCGTACCAGAAAAGTAAGTGGTATGGTATTTTATGGCAAAATCGTGGTTTAACCGTAGTCCAACAGTTAGTATCGTTAAATACCCCCTATCGGTTTAGCATCTGATACTGGTATTTTGTGGTTGAACCGCCGGTACGGTACGATTTCATGGACCATGCTATTTTGGGAAGATTAATTTTTCTCTTGAGTATATTCACCTATAAATTCAATACCAGTATAGTTTGTAATATGGACAACTATATAGTGTGAAAACCCCAACTAGCAGGGTGTTGGGCTAGTAGCTATTTTTGATAAATAGAGCCCACCGATTCATAAAAAAATGAATACGTGTTTTCATCTTCCCCTTATGTCTCCTCCAGTCCACCAGTTCGTAGGTACCATGTTTTTTAGTTCAAGCTATCCTAACCACTACTTTGAAACAACCAAAGTTTCCTATGGTTGTTTTCATGAATTACATCAGGCTTTTTTCTGGTTTTAGGAGTTATGTTCTTAACATTTCTTGTGTTACTGAACCCCAAACATTTGAGGAGGCTATTTTACAACATTGTTGGCAATAAGCAATGACTTCTGAAACTAATGCTCTTGAAGAAAATCATACATGGTATGCTGTTTCATCGTCACAAAGGAAGAAAAATGTATGTGATCGGTGGATATTTAAGATCAAGTTTAACCCGGATGGGATAATCGCACGATACAAGGCTCCTCTTATTGCAAAAGGGTACACACAAATGTATGAGGATGATTTTGGGAGTATTTCTCTCTTGTAGTTAAGTTCAACACAATAAAGACATTGTAGGCAATTGGTAGTGTTAAGGTTTGGTTCATGTATAAGTTTGATGATAGTAATGATTTTCTAAACAGTGATTTAGAAGAAGAGGTGTTCATGGATCTATCACCGACTATAACATACCCAATTACATTCAGATACCGGGTTGTTGACGAAATAAGTTTTTGTATGGGCTTAAACAAGTGAGTCATCAATGGTATTTCTAGCTTACTTCTTCTCTTGTTGGTTATGCTATCGTGCAATCTCGCTACGATCACAACATGTTTGCTAAAGAATCTTATGCCACTTTCCTAATGATTGTTGCCTATGCAGATGATATGATAGTGGTTGGACAAGATGGGGAGCTTGTGAACTCAACTAAATCTTTCCTACAAGGGCACTTTAAATAAGAGATAAGAGACCAATTAAATATTTTTTAGGTCTTGAGATTGCAAAACATTCTTTAGGGTTGAATGTAACTCAAAAAAAATATTGCTTTGAACTTATTTCTAAAGCAAGGTTGACTAATTGCAAACCTGTTCGCACACCTATGGATATTAAAGTTAGGATTTCAACTTTAGATGGAGATGCATTATCATATGTCACAAGTTACAAGAGTTTGCTTGGAATTCTGTAGTATCTTGCCAACACGAGACCTGATATATGCTTCTTAGTACAACAAATCAGTCAATTACAACTTGCACCAACCACAACTCATTTCAGTGCATCATTTTGTGTGCTAAAATTCTTGAAGAACTCACCGGAACAAGGTACGTTATTATTATGTTTCGTCCTCTCTAGAACTCTTTGGCTATTCTGACTCAGATTGAGCGACTTTTCACTACACAAGACGTTCGATTCTGGGCATTGTACTATGCTTGGGACTTCGATCTTTGGTTGCGTGGAAAGCCAAGAAGCAAGAAACTGTTGCCAAATCATCTTCAGAGGTTGAGGATCGTGCGCTATCTAATCTTGCCTCAAAGGTGGTTTGGCTGAAGACATTGTTGCAAGAACTTGGTGTGCCTCGTACTGATCGACCGTGGTGCTTCTACGACAACTGATCTAATATACATGTAGCAGAAAATCTCTTTTTCCACAAACCAACGAAGCATATAGAAGTTTATTGTCACTTTATCCGCCATCATTTCCAGTCAAAACTCACCACTTTAGATCATGTGGTGATTGAAGATTTTGTTGTGGACTTGTTCACCAAAGCATTGAGATGGTTGCCACTACATGCACTTCCTGTTGATGCCTAATCTTGTTATGGCACCGTTGATGCCTAATCTTTGTAATTAGTAATAATCTTTGTAATTAGTTTTCGTCTTCATATAACATATTCATTCTTTAACTGTAGATAACAACAACTCCTAATATGGGTTTTAGGAGTCAGATTGGATAATTCTCGCGGGATGGATTCAAATTGTCATCACTTGTTTTACCTTTATATATATCCTCCTGGGATAGTAATGAGAAGTGAGGTTTTCCCCCAATTTGTTTGAGAAATTGCAGAGCTCACAAAATCAAAATAATACAAAATTCAAATCTACAAAATTTTTACTTAGATGCACTTCATTTCAAAGTTCAAACTAGATGATCGTTGCTTGCTCAGACTTATTATTAGCATCTCATAAATGTTCACATAAGATTCATAAATCCTACTCAAATCAAAGAAGAAAAAGCTGAAAATGCATTTTCAAACTTATTTTTGTATCTTCTATGTGAGAATGACAATCCAATTCTTTACCGTTTCGCTTAAATTTTTGACCCACCTAAACTATATTCTCTCAACAAATATTGATAATAAAATATCATATTTAATAGTGTGAATGGTTTGTAAGTCTACTATCGATAGACATTTCGGTCAGAATTTTCTCAAGCGGCCCATAATACCAAAACGGATTGAATTATCAAAGCCTTCCATGCGCCTTTCATACTAAACCAAAACTCATGTATTTGGACAATCATCTTTGATTCTTGGATTTTATCGTAATCACTAATTAAGGCTGTGTTAATTGTCAAAATTTAGACTAACACGTTACGTAACTACTACCTTTGCTTACACGCCAGCCCAATGCAGTCAAAATCGCGCTTTAAAACTTAAAAACTTACGGTTTTACGCTTCTAGAACACTAAAACGCTCTCGTTTCCATATAAAATCTTAAGTGTATAAAATCGGGACTGAAATGCGCTTTAAAGCTTAAAAACTTACGTTTTTACGCTTCTGGTTCACCAAAACGCTTTACGCTTTTACGCTTCTAGTTCACTAAAGGAGTATTCTATTCACAAAAATACTTATATTTTACAGGTAAATCACAAAAAAAATATGATATATTTAAGATTAAAAGATACATATCAAGTACTTGGGTGCATTATTAGTTTCAATAGAGTAATCTAATTCACCAACTAGGCCATTCCCAAAATCACTAGCTTAGAGGGGAAGGTAGCTTATGGTTAAGATATATGTTTATGAACCTATTGTTAAAATGTTATGAGTTTCTCAACTTTAGACATGAATTACAGGTATTTATTAACTTATCTAAACTATGTGCACTCATATTTTACATAGTATATGTCGTACTTAACACATTTTCCGTTATTTTACAGTATGCGTCAAAAACTTACGTTTTTACGCTTTGATTCTACGATTTACGATTTTACCCATTTTCCGGTTCTAGGTAGAAACGCGCTTTTGACTGCATTGCGCCAGCCTACAAACCTCCACATATATACACAAACAAAAACAAGAAAAAAGGAAGCAAACAAATTCCAATTTCCCTTTCCTATCTTTCTTGTTTCCCCCTCCTATCCAACCCACTTTGACTCACTTCACTTCACACGCCACACTTCTCTCGTTCAAATCGTCTCCTTTTCTTTCCATCCGAATCGGAATCGCCGACGACGGAAGAAAGAAAATGGACTTCGATTCAGCGAAGTCGTCGCTGGTCCGACTCCGAGCTTCCGCCAATTCCTTCCTCTCCGATGTCGAGCCGCTCGCCCTGCTTCTCGCCCCACTCCTCACTCTGTTAGTTGCTCGAGTAGTTCAATCGTTTCTTCGTTGCGTTCACGATAATGGAGCCAAACCTCTGATCGTTGGCTTCGTCATGAGCTCCGTCAAGTGAGTGATTTGAGTTCTGATTTGTAAACTTGCTGTTCGGTTTCACGTTGCTCTCTAACTAATGGGGGGAAAAAATTGGATTTCATGCCGGAATACTACTAGGTTGGTGCCTGGCGTGAAGCGTTATATCGATGCGGAGAAACAGAAGGTACGTATGCGCTGCTCTCTCTGCGTGGATTGGTTGAGTTGTCGAATTGGCCCAATTCCCCTTTTGTTGATTTGATGGGGCCGTCGGGTTTTCAAAGTTCTCTGCTCAAGCTCATTTAATGGCTGTTTGATAAAATTGCGGGAGGGAAGAATAAGACTAGAATACGGTCACGAATGAACAAAATGTTAAACTAGAAGCTGGCATTAAATGCTGTTTCTGGACGGATGCTGGAGAGGGAGATATTGGCTGCTTTTACAGGAGCTGTTCTGGGATTCTTAACGTGTGAATATGTGGGGTCATTGTTGCAAGGGATAAACTTGAAAGCAATGGTGTTTATAAATGCTGTTCTGAATTGTTTTCTCCTGAAGTCCAACGTTCTCTGTGGCTGATCACCTAGCCAACTAGGGCCATATTTTTTACTTCAGGTTTTACCCAGATGTAAACTTATCCTAGTGGCTTCTATACAACAATTTGGGGATGTCTTCACTTGTTTAGTTCTTGGTTAGTAATAAACAATAACGGTTACAATGCTCTTTCGAGACTAGAGTTTACAAAAAAAAAACTTTTCATCAATTAATTGAATGAATTATATGTATATATAGCATTTTTTTACCAAGGCCCTTTTGAGGTTGAGTTGAAAGCTTTTTACCTTGGAGTGCTTCTTTTGGGGTACATTGTCAACCATAGATTTGGTTGACATGGTATACAGAGTGAACTATATATCCTATTTCATCACTTACAAGGATAAGCAGCAAAAAAGAACTCCATTTGGAATTTTGTTTTACCTGTTATTGCCGTCGTTTATGTCCCATAGGATGAATTGTCTACCTTTCAGATACTAATCAATTGGTTTTGTACATTCAATGGCATGAGTGGGTTTAGTGGGCATAGGCACACTGTTGCTTGTGCAGATCCATAATTGTGATGTGTTTGTTTTCTTTGTGGACCTTACTACGTGTGTAAGTTGAGGTATTTATTTGATCTACAAAAGGGGAAGAACTTCTCTGTCCTTGCTCATTTGTGTCCACCTTAATTCTTTCTTATGTATTAGCTCGTGATTGTGTTAGGAAAATGATTTTTGTTTTCCAATCATATCGAGGCCCACGCACTTAAAGATGTTAATCTGGTGCCGATTGACTGTGCAGGTTGTTGACCAGATGCAGTCTGGCACCAAATCTAAGAGGGCGGGATGGATGTCGGAGTTGCCTAAAGAAGGGTTAGGGCCGGTAGTGATCGAAAAGTTGAAAGAAGAGAAAGATAAGGATGTAGATTGGCGGGGGAAATGCTCGGGTACAGTGTATGTTGGGAATGGTTGTCTTTGTAATTAAGTTTCTTATGAAATGATGCTTAGAAATTTTCCATTTTACTCTTAACATTGTTGATAATTTCGTTATTAACATTTGTGGTTGCAGTTACATTGGTGGAACTGAATCTGAGGGTCATTTTGCTGTGATAAATGAGGCCTGCTCAATGTTAGTAAGAGATGAGATGTGCCATTTCTTTCCAGAGGTCATGATGATTCTGCATGATCCTCCTAAAAGCATCTTCGTTTTGGATGTTCTTAATTGAATTGGGAACAACAGTGTACTTCCTTGTACTCTTAATGTGATAATTGCAGCATTCCTAACTGTTTAGACAAATAAATTGCTGCTCACCTGTGACAACCTCGTTGTCCAGTAATAACCACAATCCTGATGCTTTTCAGACTAATAATTCATCTTATTACTTTTCTTGGATGTTGAATGAAATTCACTTTAGGAGACTTCACATCGAACTTGTAATACGTGCTGATGAAATTGCTTATGACATCATGCATTGCGGAAAAGGAGACATGTCACATGCATTATAAATTTATAATAAGCTTATAAAAACTCAAATTTAGTTGTAAATTATGGTTAGGACATTACCACTACTTGTTATTCTTGCTGTTAAGTCTTTGCTGTTCTTGCATATGCAGAGATTCTTTTGGTGTCACAGGCCTAAACTTCCACATGCATTTTCCTCAGGTTTGCACATACAAATCCATTGCATTTGGATGTGTTTCCAAGTATAGCTAGATTTGAGGCAGAAGTTGTGGCAATGACGGCTTCCCTGCTTGGAAGTAAAGAAACGTCTTCTGAAGGAGAAATATGTGGGAACATGACATCAGGTGGAACGGAGAGTATTTTGCTGGCTATGAAAACATCTCGAGACTACATGAAGGCTAAGAAGGGAATTAGAAAACCTGAAATGTCAGTAAATTTCTACTTCTCACCTCTACTTTGTTCTGCTTTTTTCGTAGGAAATTCTAATCTATTGATTATTCATATTGAGCGCAGGATAATACCTGTATCAGCACACTCAGCTTATGACAAGGCTGCTCAATACTTTAACATCAAGCTCTGGCGAGTTCCTGTAAATAAAGAATTTCAAGCAGATGTTAAGGCTATACGAAGGCTCATTAACAGAAACACTATTTTGGTAATCATTCCTTGTCTTCTCCTATCTCTATCCAGAAGGGTATGGATGTAAAAGTGCCCTGATTTCAAATTTTCGATTGATTTCAACTTCCTGGCGCTACAGATTGTTGGATCTGCCCCTGGGTTTCCTCATGGCGTCATCGATCCCATTGAGGTATGTGATTCAGTATCCCCTTTTTTTGCTTCAAACTATGGCCTTCTTTGTTCAATTGATTTAATTCTAGTCTTCTGTGAATGCTTCTAAGCTATATGGCAAATTATTTTGTAGGAGCTTGGAGAATTGGCTTCTAGCCGTGGAATATGTCTTCATGTTGACCTTTGCCTCGGTGGATTTGTGTTACCTTTTGCCCGTATGCTTGGGTATGATGATCTTTTGCAGAATGACATGTCTTAAGTTGGTGGATTTTTACTTTTGTTGCAGAACACAAAGTTCTTTGTTGCTAGGAAATTCTATTAGCGGTTCTTTGATGGTAGTGATGTTAGTACTCCAATGATATTACACATTTTACTCCAATCTTCGGAGCCTACTAGATGCGATTAGCAAGATGCATATCTAGTAATAAAGAACAGAGTCTGTTTTCTTATAGCCATCCTTTTTTAGTGAACGTTGCTTCAGTCGTGCATAAAGAACTATGCATGTTTACTTCTGCCACATGAAATTGTAATCTTTGCAATTTTGAATTGTTCAGATACCCAATTCCATCATTCGACTTTACTGTTGAAGGAGTGACCTCAGTGTCAGTAGATGTGCACAAGTACGGGCTGGCTCCTAAAGGAACGAGTGTAGTTCTGTACAGAAATCATGAAATTAGAAAGGTAAAACCACTATTACTATTAGTCTCTCATTTCCTGATGCCACGAGCAATGTTTCTTGATGCTATGAGCAATGTTTCTCATTGCTAGTTCAGTTAACACCTTCATTCTTGAACTGCGGATTTCACTCATGACTTCCAAATTGAGTCCAGTTATGTTCTGCCGCTGTCTCTTTACGATTTTCTCCTTTTTTTAGTAAACTTGGAGTTAAGATAGTTTGGATGACAGAGGGGAGTTTTACATGAGTATCATCCTTGTTTTTAGAGGTGGGCATGGTCTGTTCCGATTGTGACTCTTAACAGAATTGATATAGGACTCGAAAATAAAGGGAAAATGAGAACTGGGATTGGAAGGAAAATGCATTTGGTCTGCTTTTTGCTTTGTTTTTAAATTGATTCATGGAAACAAAACCAGAAAAGTCTTCAATTCGAGAATCAAAACTGCATTGGATTATATTTGATAGGGCCAATTCAATCACAATATCGATTTCTTACAATTTGGTCTAGTGTGGATCAAATTGGTGCCTACCCCTATTTGTTTCTGCAATCTGATCTCGTTGAATTTGGTTTCTGATATGGGTTCTCTTGCCGTGTCCTCATTTCTGGTGGCTATCATGGGTTCTTCAACAGCATCAATTTGTTGCTGGTGAGTTTGCCTTCTGCTGCAGACAACAACTTAATGGTTTTCATTGCTTGAAAGGTTGAATTTCAGTTGCTAACCTTTTGCCATTGGTGCAGTTACTGAGTGGTCGGGTGGCCTCTATGTGTCTCCGACAGTTGCTGGAAGTAGGCCAGGAAGTTTGATTGCTGGGGCTTGGGCAGCAATGATTTCTCTCGGCCTACAAGGTGATGAATGCAACACGTTTCATTTCCCAGCAGGTGTTAGTCCAGAATCCAGATGTTTCATCAGGCTGTGTTATTTATGTATTCCATTCTGCAGGGTACTTGGAGAATACAAAAGCCATAATGGAGGTATCAAAGCAAGTACAGAAGGGGTTCGTATTAGTTCTGCTTCCACTTTTGAGCATTTTCGCTTTCTCGAACAGCAAGTGTTCGAAAGCTGAAACAAACTAAAAGATACTGTTCTATTTGAAGCAGAGTACAAGAGATCCCCGAGTTATTCATCATTGGAAAACCAGATATGACGATCGTGGCATTTGGATCCGATCTCGTGGATATATTCGAAGTCAACGACATCATGACGTCCAAAGGCTGGCATCTTAATGCATTGCAGAGACCCAACAGGTAGACAAGCTATATATATATATCAAGAATAACCTTTTTGTCTGGGTTTTCTGGCTCATCCATATCTGACTTCCATTCTTCTTTGTTGGAACCAGTCTTCACATCTGCCTTACCCTCCAACACGTATCAATCTACAAGGACTTCCTCGTCGATCTGAAGGAATCAGTAAACACTGTGAGTTGTCCAAATAACAGGAATTTACAGAATCACCTCTCAAACGTTATAACGAGTTAAATCAGGGTTCTCGTTCTTCCTACAACAGATGTCAGACCACTGATTTCTCCTTTACGCCGCTGTTGTTTTTGTCAGGTGAAAGCAAATCCAGGTCCTATAAAAGGAGGGCTCGCTCCAATTTATGGTGCTGCCGGGAAGATGCCTGATCGAGGGATGGTTCAGGATTTGTTGGTTGATTACATGGATGGTACATGTTAGGTCATACCATAGTTATACTTTTCCCAAAAACTTCCCTACGCCATAAAACTGCAACTTTAAAGACTTTGTTTCTTGTGAATGGGTTGGTTTGTTGTATTGTTGTGGAATGTGTGATTGAGCCATTTGATGCTGGACCTGCCTCTAAATTGTGGACACACGGTGGGCAGCTTAGGCATGTATTAAAAATGCTACAACATTTGCAACCTTTAAGGAAGTCACTAAGAGTTCCTAAAACACCTGGTTACCTCGAAGTCTTTCACACTAGTTTTCTAGTCAATTCCACACCTGGTTGTTATGATTTTACCAGACAATATCCTCTTTCTAAACACTTACTATATAACCATCTTCCAACCTCTGCACAAACATTTCACTCTCTCCAATTTGTTTCTCCTGATCCACAATGTTACTCTCGTGCAGTTGGAGAAGCTTGTTGGGACCAGAAACTATGAATGATGAGTTCAAAGCATTAGATGAAACAGGAACTTGGAAGGTTGTTGACTAAGAAACTGGTATGAAGGTGAGAGGAACTGAATGGGTGTTTAGAACCTAGTACTTACAAGATGGTCAATTTGATAGGCACAAGGCTAGGTTACTAACAAAGGGATACACTCAAACCTATAGAATTGATTTTCTCCACACTTTTTCCACTGTTGCTAAATTCAACTCAGTGAAACTTCTTTTTGTTGTTGCAATTGCCAAGGGCTGGAATTGACATAAAATGGATGTTAGTATGCCTTCTTGCATGGTGACTTAGAGGAGGAGGTATATATGGAGATTCCTTTGAGTTTAAAACATCTCAGTCACGTGTAGGGAAAGGTTTGCAAACCGGAGAAACCCTTACATTACATGGTCTGAAACAGGCTAGCACGCAATGGTTCTGTGTATGCATTGAGTTGTGTCAAGAGTGTGATGTCTCAGTTTTCCTTATCGTCATGACTCCACTATAGTCTTGCTAAGTGTGGGGTATTTTTCGGTGGGGTGTCTGAAGCATTTATGCATAATGCTATGAATGTGTATGGTTTTAAAGAAGGAAAACTGTCAGTTATATATTTAGGCCTGCCTCTAGTTGTTGGTCGACTCCCCAGTCGACACTAGTGTGATTTGTTAGTTGATAAAATCACAAGTCGAATAAGATCGTGGAGAGCAAATAAGTTGTCTTATGTTGGTAAATTACAGTTGGTTTTCTCTGTGATTTATTCTGTTGTGCAGCATTGGATGTCTCTGTTTATCATTTCAAAAGAAGTAATTGCAAGTATTGAGAAACTTTGTTCTTATTTTATCTGGCACGGTGAGGGTTCACGGTTCAGGAAAAGCCGAAGTGGCTTGGGAGGTGCTTGCTACACCTGTTGCTGAAGGTGGGTCTGATTCAAAGGAGCTTGTGGCCTGAAATGTTGCTTGCAGTGCACGACTACTCTGGTGAAAAGTGGTAGTTTTTGGGTTGCCTGGATCGGAGGGAAATTCTCATATTGATTAGCAGTCACATATTGCTTAGCAGTAATTTTGTAAGGAATTATAGCGTATACTTGTGTTGTTAATTATTTAATTTATATCCCAATTAATCCTACAGGCCTCTCGTCAGTTACATATAATCAACCGTGTATGAGACATTTGTTACTTCCATTGAGTGATTTAAAGCGACCCTTAAAACCACATAGCTTTAATTTATGATCGCGTTCCAGTTTGCATACGTAACCAATGAACCAACCATGTATTTATTTTTCAGTTCCTCCGTAACCCAAAATTCAGGGTGGTACAGTAATTATGGAGTTTCGATCTGCTTTCAATTCGATCCATTATTTTATATTTATTTTATTTTACATATAGATAACTCATCAAATCAAACTAATATATTTTGATCCAATATAGCCACGTAAGAAATGGTTGCCAAATGCCAACCCCCCTAATGGGAAGAAGATGGGAATGCGTTAGGGTGGAAACTGAATTTCTAGTAGCCACCGTGGCTACATCAGTATCCACCATTTATTTTCTTCTCTTTCCTCTTTTTTTAATCTTATGGTTAAGATTGGCTCAGGATAATTTTGGAAGAAAAAAAAGGACCACACCTGATTATTCTATATATTCTACCCTAACCCTACTTCTACAGCCAAACCCGTCGTAGCCGCAAGCTCTCACTCTCCCCAACGATGGCTTAGGGTTTGCTTGTCCGACGACTCCTTCCGCGCGCTTCTTTCTCCGACCACGGGCGAGTCACCAGTCGGATGGGTGGCGATCCGAGCAGCCTGACCACATCGTCGTCCACCTCGACGGAGATCCTACCTGCCGAATTCCCCGCCGTCTACCAACGGAGCCGGCGATTACCTCGACTCGCCCCCGCCGCTCTTCGATTCTCCCGACGGATTCCACCACATCTACGCCGGAAATGTCAAAGGGATCAATGCTGCAGCTGTTGACCTTTGGGGAAGCCATATCTATCGGTCCTCACAAACCAGAGAAGCTCTTCCCTATCCTCGACATGTACGAGACCATTTCAGGTATGATTCCCTACCTAGATTTTCTATATGCAAGTGGAGCTGGTTCGTGTGTTAGAATCGATTGCCACGAACTTCAGAGAAGGTTAGGTGATTCAGTTTTTTTCGTAGTGGTAGTGTTATTGTCGTATTGGTATAGTTTTTGTCGCATTGGTATTATTTTTGTCGCATTGGTATTGATTTTGTCGCATTGGTATTGATTTTGTCGCATTGGTAGTGATTAAATCTGCAATGGTATTGATGTTTTGTGAAATGGTAGTGTTTTTATTTCTTGAATGGTATTGATGTTTTGTGAAATGGTAGTGTTTTTATTTCTTGAATGGTAGTTTTCGTGTAATGGTATAAATTTAATTATGCAATGGTAGTTTTCGTGTAATGGTATAGATTTATTTCTGCAATGGTATTGATATTTTTCAAAGTGGTAGTGTTTGTCTAATGGATTGGTACTGATTTCGTTTTTTTTTTTTTTTTTTTTGCAGAAAGATTGAAAAAAATATGGAAAGGAAATCTGGCTGGAGATTACGGAAGTGAGAGAAAGAGAGATTTTTAATTAATAGATTTTTGTAACTACCTTAAATGTAATTTATTAAAAAATTAATTAATATAATTTATTTTTCCATACCCAATTTACCCTTAGTAACCACGGTGATTACTACTTTGTAGTAATCACTGTAACCTGTCCCGAAGAAGATGTCAGTAACAACAAAATTGACCGTCACTTTCACAGAGAAACAAAAGTTGAAATGTCAACTTCCATAAGGGTAAATGTTCCTTTCAATGAAGCTGGATGCGGTAAAAGGAGTGAATGAAAAGCTCGTCATGGGATGTGGGTGAGACTGTAAAATGGTTCGTTTTCATGAAATTGAAGAAAGGGTTCGTCAGGTTAATAAATACTATATTACTACATACGTAGTGTAACTTGTCTTTATTGTCAGCTACTTGACCATCCCTCTCCTCTGATCTAAACAGCAAATCGCCATCCCTCGCCTGAATCAAAACCCCAAAGACATAGATTCTCAAAATTTTGAATTAACTGTTTTAGGGTTTTGGATTTTCATCTTCTCCCTTTTGCACTTCTGGCTGCCCTACTAATATTCTGGCCTTTTCTCATTATTGCGGGGCAAACCAACAAGAAAGAACAAAGGAGCAGGGATATGGGAAGTTCATTATAACCGCCGTCCAATCTCCATTGTCACGGACCCAATCACCATTTTTATTTTTTTGGATAAGGCCACATTATCCACACAATCTATCAATTCCACCACCTCACACAAAATCTGATTTACTAAAGCTTTAAGGCGAGTTAGGGATGGAAAGAATACCCGAGTTTCGATGTGGATGACGATTTTGGTTCGATCTGAAATTGGATTGGATTGATGTACATGGTTGAGTGGCGAATGAAGAGAGGATGATGGAAATCAAATCGATACATCAGAGTCCAGTTGGTTCATTCAAGTTTTTGACTTGGATCTATTTACTTCATCGATGGTACGTAAGTGATCGGATTAGATTGAAATCAAATGTTGACTCGAGTCATGCGTTACGAGTCTTTGGTAAAGCGTTGGTTGAATCTGTAATATAAAAAACCGTCATTGTCTTTATTTCTATTACGAATGTTTGAATTGTTGTTTTTTTTTTTTCAAACCACATATTAGAATGAAAAACAACTTGTGTCACCTTGTACTAGAGTAATGTGAAACTCGAAACAAATATTTGATATTGAGATGTATGTGTAAATTGTAATGCTCACCCAATATGAATTCTCTTTTTTTTTATATCTAATAGCAATGTCAATATTTCATTTTATTTCATTTTGCCAAACGAGTCAATCTGATAAAAATTTATAAAATTTTGAATAATCGATAGACTCATCCAAAGTCGTCCAAACCACCTTTTTCATGATTCATGGGTGCCCTAATCTAACTTGAAGTGGATCCTCGTCCTACCGACTAGACTAGACACAAGGCTTCAATTTAGGGATATGCCTCCCAAACAAAGGGCACCCAAGTCAAGATTTTAATTTTTAAGGAGAAACCTGGAAACTTTAAAGCATGAAAAGCATCAACACACCATGAATTTGAATTCTCTATTCATTTATAAACGACATTATTGCTGTGCTAGGTAGCGAGCTTGGGGGGGAATGAGAATTGTCGGAAAGTAGATGCGGTGTGTAGTTAGCAAGTAGGATAGCAGAGCAGAGGATTCCACCCAGCAGCAAAATCAATCAAAATTCAAAAAAAGAAACAAACAAAGAACCCGAATAATAACAATAATGGGGACGAAAAACAATTATATAAAATAAAAGCAACGGGGAAAATAAATAGAAAAAAAAAGCCATAGGAATTCGCATCCACTCATTCATTGACATTCAAAAAAGTGTAGCCTCCCAATGAGAATTGATTAAAGTATAAACACCCTCCCAAATTTATAATTAACTACTCCCGTCCCATCCCATTCCATGCACCACTTTTGTAATTTCATTGTTAAGTGGCCGATTTGAGTGTAAGATTTCGTGGGCAATAAATCATTACATTTTTAAGTTGAAGGATCATTTGCTTCGTGAATATGAAAATGAGAGTTTTTATAAATTTTGGATTGTGAATAACTATAGATTTATGATGAATTTATTGGTATTATAAATTTGAAATTTTTTATTGTTAATTTTTTTTTGGATTTATTGTCGATTTTGCTTGATTATATTTGTTAGTATGATGAATTTTTAGCCTTCATCAAAATCCCCATATGGGATTTGCCAATTTGCAAGTTTTTTTAGATTCATACCCTTAAAAAAACCATGAGCCCCACAAATTTTACATCCTAAAATTGGCTAGCAAATAATGAAATCTAAGACGGTGCATAGTTAATTGCATTTGAAACCGAATCCATGACGCAAACAAATCCTTAACGATTATTAGATCGAGTCACATCAAATTACGAGGGGAAAAAACCAGTGTTATTAAAGCCGAGCCGCTCGGCCCGACCGGTAAAACTGCCACCCGGTCACAAAATCAGCTCGGAACAGTCTAAAAGTCGCTCTGGTTTTATGTAGCAGTTGACGAGCGGCCGAGGCGGTTAACCGCTCGAGCCGCTCGTCCGGTTTTTGCCATTCAACAGTTAAATTTAATTAAAAAAATTACAGAAAATTGAAATAAACCAAAAACGTCGGACTCGTCAAACTGAATCCTTATTTCCATTTCACAATTTCGAAGGAAAGAGACGAGCTCTGATTAAGAAATGTCCACTATTTATACTGATAACGTTTATTAGGTACCGGTTCTGTAACGGTTTTTAAACGGTCTAATGCCGGTTGGACCACTAAAGTGTGAGCCGTTCGCATTACCGAGTCATGCTCCGGTTCGGTTATGACAACATTGAAAAAAACTGTGCAATCTATAGCAAAGTAGTCACATCATTGATCGTAGTCGAAGTTGGTACTAAGTTATTCAACCAAAACATAAGGTTATCTTAAGTTTCAAACTTTGATTTCCAGCCAGAGAAGGACACAAATTGCAACTTATATAAATTTATCTGTGGCATATAATTACAGTGTCAAAGAGTTTCAGATTCTACCTAGATCAACTTTGAATAACACCCAAATCCGATTCTTGTGTCATCAGGAGCAAATCCTAGATCATATATCATACAATCAAAATAGGCTTATCCAATAATCTCAATCATTCAGTTCAGGGTATAGCATTCTATAATTAATGCCAACATGTTCATCTCCGACAATTTCCTTATTAATGCCCTAAATAATTGTTAAAGAACCATATGGCATGATTTTAGTTATTAGGTTGATGGGTTTGGTGGTATTTTACTATTTTCACAAATATGCAGTGGATTTTGTACTACTTATAATTATATAAATAAACAAAAATAAGAGCCTAGCAGCCAAAAGACGACACTCATCACTTGACTGGGCCGGTGGCCCACCAGCGCCAGAAACTATCTCGCCAATCCCTCACCTAATCACCAATACTTAATCCCCAAGCAATTACGAATAATAAACAAATCGAAAACAGAAAGTAAAGCATCCATCAAAATCAAAAAAAGAGGTCGGATTACTAGGCTTCGCTTCAGAATTATTAACAAATTTCCTTATCTTTTTCTTCCCCCCTCCCACCTTCATTTTCCCGGAAAATTCAGCCAAACAACCTGCTCCGGCGAGAAAATCCCACTTCCCCGCCGGTCGAAATGTGCAGTGTGCAGTCTCTCCCTCGATAGTTACACAAAATGTCCTCTCTAGAGAGACAGACATGAGAAACCCATGATCGAGATTTGAACAAAAAGAAAGCTACTGAGTAATAATTTCTAAACAAAGAGAGAGAGAGAGAGAGAGAGCTTAGCTACTACTGTAATGGCGTCGAAAAAACAAAATAATGCCTTCCTTCCTTTCCTCCTTTTGCTGGGATAGAGATAGGGATAGGGGGAGATTAAATATTCGGACCCCAAAGACTCCATAAACGCGAATTCAACAACCCGAACACGTCCGGCAGCACTTTCCTTCCAATCCCTTTATGCCCGCTGCCGCCTTCCGCGGCCGGAGGCAACCTCAGCACCACCGCCCTCTCTTCCTCCTCACTCGCCGCCGGCGAGACGGTCTCGACCTCAATCTCAGCGGGAGCAAAAGAAGCAGCTGGTTCATCAGTCGTCGTCGTTACCTGCGGCGGCGGTGGCGGAAGGAGCTGATTCAGCTTGGAATCGGAAGCAATCTCTACGGCGGCGGCGGCGACGCGGCGGGAGGTCTTGTCGCGGCGCTTGCTCTTCTTGGGCTGTTCGGCGGTGAGGAGATGCTCCTCGAAGGCTTCGATGACCTGGTGGATGAGCTCGCGGTTGGGGGAAGAGTCCCAGCGGAACCAGTAGCTGGTGTAGCAGTCGAAGCAGTCGCAGCCGAACACCGGAGCCTTGTGAGGAGGACCGCTGCTGGTGCTTCCGCTTCCGGCGGCGTGGTTGGATGATGGCTTCTTGGAGGATTTTTTGGTGGTGGAGAGGGAGGAAGGAGGGGTGGATTTGAGGGACATGGTGAGCATGTAGGCGAGGACTTCGCGGTCGGGAAGGGAGAGGACGGAGGCGAGGGCGAGGATGGCGGCGGGGAGGAGGCTGAGGACGGAGAGGAAGTCGGAGGAGGCGGCTGCGGCGGAGGGGGAGGGGAAGACTTTGCCTTTGTTCTTGAGCTTCATGGCGGTGGTGGTGGCGGTGGTTGTGGTTGAGGGAGAAAAAGGGGCGGAAGTAGAGGGATGGTTGGATGGATGGGTTTTACCAGCGGAGGTGAGTGTTTGGTGAGGAGAGAGAAAGGGAAGAGGGGTATTTTGGGGAATGAGTAGAGGGGCAAAGTTGGGAGTTTAATTTTTTCCTTAGGGAAGGGAATGACGTGGTGCCTTGGCTAGTGGGTCAAAGTTGGATGTCTAGGTTGGGACTTGGGATGATAGATAATTAGATATATACTCCAAACAAATCAATTTTTTTCTTTTGGGTATTTAGTTGAAAGTTTTAAACAAAAAAATTTTGGTTTAATGAAAAACATTTATATCTATTATACGTAGGGATTATCCTTTATAGGCATTTAGAAATGAATAAATTGCTCTCTCTATACACATGAGAGAGACTCTCACTTCCCAGTTTCTACGGTTAAGAGTATCCTAATTGTTTGGCCAAGAGACCATGTCGATGGTCATCTTCATTTGCATTTTTTATGATGTTGATTGCCGTCAGAGAAACTAAATTAAACCGCGCTCTCTGTTACCCGTTGTTCCAAGTAAGTTTAAGGCCTTCTATTGTGCATTTTCACTCTAGGCAGGTAATTGAGCATACTCCCATGTTATTGACGAAAGCACCCTTACATCGTCCCTGGTCTATGATGAGTCCTCCCGCCACTGCCCTATCAAAGGGAAAAACAACAGATTCGTCGGGTTGGACTTGAATCCAGTTAATTTCCCGTGAAAATCAGGTAACCTATTCATTCACCTAGCTTTGTTTAGGCCCTGTTCACTTCCATTTTTTCGTTTTCTGTTTTCTGTTTTCATGTGATAAATTTGGCAACCGAAATGAGAAAACTTGTTTCCTTTTCATTCTGTTTTCTATTCGTTTCCAACTATGAAAACAGAAAGTGGCAATTTCCTACTATTATCGGAAACGATAAAATGTTGTTTTCACCTGTTTTCAACATCTGTTTTCTTAAAAATAGGAAAACAGAAATGAAAATAAACAAGTGTCTTCGTGATACATTCCACATTGTGCTGCATGTGTTTAAAAATATCGAGCACACACTGTGAGTCTATAGACAGTGCCACAATCCAAATGAGAAAGTAATTTTCCCAATATTATTATATTATATAAAGCTCAATCCATGTAATTGTTGCCTATACTTTTGCTCTTATTGGTTGTTTTTTTTTTTCATGCATTTGTTTTCCCATTTTAAGATTTTGCAACTTCCACATAGTCCATAGTTGTACTTTTTTTGCATGAGATATTTGGATTCGCACCTGTTCTAAAAATTATTTCTCAATTTGAGAGTTGTGAACTTCTGATAATGTTGTAACTGTGGAAATAAATTTGCAACGGTGGTATCCACCCGAATCTGATTTAATCAGATAAAGTAAAATTTGAACTCGAGTGATTTTTAGTGAGTGTAAAAAAATTTGAATCTGAATATTACATTAATTGGTGGGCATGATTTTCTCACTATGCAACCCAAATATGCTCGATTATACACATGCATATGTATTTTTTTCTAGAAAGCTCATTATTTTTCTCTATAACCTTGATATTTATTATACATATATAATATTTTCGTGCAGTTTTTTTGTTTTAACTAATTTTTTTCATTTTAGTGATTTTTATTGTTGTACGCAATGTCATTATACGAGTGAATGTTAACATGTTGGTTAGATTTATATATAAAGAAAAATTATTACCCATGGATAACACGTGAAAACCGAATCATCGAGAATGGGCTTGATTTTAATTTTCTCCTCGATTCTTCTGTGAGTATGAGTAAACCAAACTATTCTAGGTAGGATAATGGATATGCACTATCCGCCACCAACACGATCGATTTCCATTCCAAATTTTCATTAATCCTTTTATGTTATGTCTATTAGACTCATGTTACCAATCAAACTTCAAAATCAGATTGAATTTTTTGATAAATAAACTTCAAAATTAGATGTCTTAAAGACTACTTTTAAAATTAGGTGAATAGTATTTACGCATTTTTGTAATGTAAGATGTAATGATATTAGGTTATTAAAACAAAATAATACGCACAAATGACTAACCAACAAAGTAAAAAATTAAAAATCAACCGCAGGCCGTTGCAGAGCTCGGCCACCACCTAGCTAGTTACTATATATAAAGCTCATGTCAATTTACTATTGCCTAATAGTTTTGCTGATATAAATTGTTGTCGTTCAATGTTGAAACAATTAAAGAATACACTTAACAAAAACACTCGGCAAACTAAGTGAGGGACAAAGGAATTAGGTATTGCATGATAATAAAAAAGACATCGAAGACATATTTAATTAGAATTAATTTTCAATTTGAATAAACGAGATAAATAAAATCGTGAATCAATTATAATACTGGATCGATTCTTGGATTTGGTTAGTCAACTATGGACTAGCCGGTTGTTTGTGATTGGTCATGGAATTGCTAAAATCTCCCCGATTTAAGTGGTCCACTGGTTCAATGTTTTTGTCCAAAAAAACTTGACCACTAAAAAAATATTATGAGAGGCACAAATTTTTAATTAGAACTAGCGAGATCGTTTCTTGGATCGATCAACGATGGACTAGCCGGTTGTTTGTGATTAGGCTTTAACTACAAAAATTGCTATGACTTAATCAATTCATTGGTTCAGTATTGTTTTCTAACTTAACTACTATAAAAATATTATGGGAGACAGAAACTTGAAAAACTAACTAATTACCATAACATTTTTTTACTTCTCTATTTCATTTTTGAATTGACCATCATCTACATTTCTTTATTTTCATATTTGCCTTTTTCGTCCAACACTCCTTATTGTATTATATATGTATTCTATTTTAACAGATCCGTAAACAATTCACCATCATAAAATTTAATAATTAAACCATGAACCACAAATCTTTTGTGCTCAGTGCAAAGTCCAATTATAAACACAAAGATTTTTCTACGTAGTAGTAGTTGTCGTTTTCCTCCCTACTTCTCTCCCTATAATTTGAAGATATGTAATTTTTTTAAACAATAGTTCAACTTTTAATTATTTTTTTTTTCTCTTTAGAGCTTTTCTTTCCTATTTGAGTTAGAATCTTCTACAGTTATCCACAATATATTTATACATATCTGTTGGGGGTGTACGAATGAGAAGGCCTCGACATGTGGGTGAGGCCCAGTAAGAGATATGAAGTCCAAATAGTCTGAGAAAAGCTGAGCACACTCAAGACTCCGGAGTGGGCATGATTGGCGCCCATGAGTTTAGATCGGAATAACAAGTGGACCCGAACACCCGGAATGGTAGTACTTACGCGTTAGGCGCCTAGGGTGAATTGTGCGCACCTAGGGAGGGCGCCCGAAATCACCATCGGAGCGGGCGCCCGGGATTACTCATTAAATGCAAGGGTGACGTGGGAATCCGTACAGGAAGGTCCAGGTAAGCAATGATCGGCTATAAATAGCGAGGTTGGTAAGCATTTATTCAATTTGGCTTCTCTCACTAAAATCGTGCATTGTAAGCACTTCTCTCACTAAGAAAGATCCTAACTTGAGCGTTGGAGGACTAACGGGCCACAAGGCCCACCTCTGTGAGTGCAGGTTCATTCGTGAGGGATTCGGCTGGTACGGAAGGGAAGTTGGAAGATCAAGTGGGCTTCAACAATATCAAATAAAGAATCATCACTAACCAATTATCATATTAAAAAATACAATTATCATCGTAAATGCATCATTAAGACGATTAAATATCCGTGGGTAACCACAACAACCGAGTAATTGACCACCTCGCAGCAAAGCGCGATCCCTGTCCAGTACTTATATAAAGAAAAAGGATAATTGATTTATGTGTAATGTGATTCATATGTTTCTAATTCTTAATTAACAATCAAGAAATGCATGCTACGCCTTTTGTTTTACAAGAGAAGAAAGGTAGTAATCCTTTAATAGGAAGAATACCTGTTTATAAAATAAAATAAATAAAAAACAATACCAAACACCCCTTGTCTACTAACCAAGGGGACACAAATTTCCTGATGTGTGTAGCTAGCTCCTTTTGGGAGTTGGTCATAAAAATACAAATATGCTCATTTATTTAGTTGAAAGTTTAAAGCCTTGAGAAAGACACTTATCTTCTGTTGGTTCGACTCCTAATGCCTATGACTATTTATTTATTCATAACGACAGAATATTGGTGCCTATAATTTGACTTCTTTCTCTTTGATTCGAGACAACGTAGCAATGGTCCCCTCTCAAGTCCAAACCTGAAGCATTAGTGGTTTCCATTCCATTTTCGAGTCCACTGCTCCAAAGTGTCAAGGAAAGCTTATAGAGACTAAAGAGGGTAAATTTTCATAAGCAAACCATACATGGCCATACAAAAAGGACAGTAATGACTAATCTTAATAGTTAATATCATGAGAAATGTACTCCCGCTTGTTAATACATGGAGCCTCAATAAACATATATTGAGTTGATATTAAATTAGTCAACCTAAGGATATAATAGATCGACGATACTTGGTATTTTATCTTTCTTTGAAAAGTAAATGAACATTTTAGTAGAATTCCATTTCAACTATTTGGCTCGGACTGGATTGGATTGGAACTTTTAATTCAATTTTCAAAGTCAATTGGTTTTTTTTGTTTGTTTGTATGGCCAAATAGCCGATCTAATCATTTAATTTTTACATTTTCTTTTATAGGTTAGGTGCTTTCAAAACTAGGCAAATCACGTTCTTTTTAACTTTTAAATTAGCATACTAGAGAATTCGTTTGTTTGTGTAGTTAATTATTTTTATCGAACAATAATTTAAGATGAACCAGAGGCTTGTTAGCCTAGGGAAAAAAGCGATTCAAGTCGCGAACGATTGTCAAATGAAGGACCGATCCTTTTACGTTGATGGACATTTGTTTTCCAAATATGAAAAATATTGAAAACATGCTAAGCATTGATTATCTTGGATAGCATTTTGTGCCTATAAAAT